TTCGTCTGAGGGTTCATGTTCTGCTCTTGCACGGATCATGTTCTGTTGGTGCATGGTTCATGTTCTGCTATTGCACGGATCATGTTCTGTTGGTGCATGGTTCATGTTATACTGATGCATGGTTCATGTTCTGGTGGTGTACGGTTCATGTTCTACTGTTCTAGGGGTTCATGTTCTGCTGGTGTACGGTTCATGTTCTACTGTTCTAGGGGTTCATGTTCTGCTGGTGTATGGCTCACGTTTTACTGGTGCATGGTTCATGTTCTGCTGGTGCATGGCTCACGTTTTACTGGTGCATGGTTCATGTTCTGCTGGTGCATGGTTCATGTTATACTGATGCATGGTTCATGTTCTGGTGGTGTACGGTTCATGTTCTACTGTTCTAGGGGTTCGTGTTCTGCTGGTGTATGGCTCACGTTTTACTGGTGCATGGTTCATGTTCTGCTGGTGCATAGTTGATGTTCTACTGGTGCATGGTTCATGTTCTACTGGTGCATGGTTCATGTTCTACTGGTGCATGGATCATGTTCTACCGGTGCATGGATCATTTTCTACTGGTTCGTGTTCTACTGGTGCATGTATCATGTTCTACTGGTTCGTGTTCTACTGGTGCATGGATCATGTTCGACTGGTTCGTGTTCTACTGGTACAATCTTATATTTGTATTATTATTCTCTGCTACGTCATTATATGTTATCTAAACTACCAGTTGATTTAAACCATATGATCTGTTAATCTATGGTGTATATGTATTATCTCTATTAAAGTATCCTTGTTGAGCTGTAAGTACACGTATAGAAATTATCTCTATTAAAGTATCCTTGTTGAGCAGTAAGTACACGTATATGAATTATCTCTATTTTTATATAGCTTTTCTAAGAAAACCAAAACATGTTCACTTGATAATAATCTTCAGGATAAAGCTTCCTGTTATCTATATAAATGTTTCAGGCTGGTTATATGTATATTCCATATTCAATACTTAAGATTTCTACAACTCTGGTTGATATGTATTTTCCGTGAAATTCAGACCCTGAAGAGTATAAAGGTTTAAAGAGTGGGATCAGCTGTGTAAAACAGATGGTCCTTTCTTTCTGTTTTATTTAGGAATTGGTTTGAGGAGGTGGGAAGAAACTCTTCGTAAACCATACTTGGGGCAATTGACAAGGTGCTGTATGAAAAGATAAAGATATCTATAACTTACTTCTGTCTTCAGAATGAGGAGGGAGGGAGGAAAATTTTTCACAAAACTAGATATGCAACAGAAATGAAAAAGTGTTACGTAAATTTGTTGACGCTCGTATTGATGGGCATGATGTGATTGTTCGACAGGCATTGAAACGGAAACCAACAGTAAACATATACGAGCAAATTTATATGCTTTGATATGTCTTTGTTTCAGCTCAAGAGACATGCAAATATCGACTTCAAAGCGGCCAGAAAGTCTAAAAGGTGATTTATTAAAATTGAGGGACTTACATTAAAAAGTTCTAGAAAAGAAGGAACTTCATTAGCTGTTTCACAACCATTAAAATAAAATAAATATTACTTCTTCCACAAGTAGCTTTTGTTCTAGTATATGCCTATAATGAAATAAACTTTTCCTGAAAATTCTTTATGTTGCAAATAAAGTCCATCATTACTTAGTTTTTGTGCTGGCCTCTAGTGAGGGATTGTAAAATTAAATTTCCAAAGTTGCACTCCACCATCTGACATTACACTAACTTAATATAACACAAGTCACTTCATATTACATTCAGATAACTAGTTTTAATTAACGTTTATTAATATTACGTCATATTAATAGCAAATGGACCGCTAGAAATGATCGTATCCTAGTAATGTATTATAATATTTTATTTTTTACTTTAAGTAATTTTACTCTCAGTATTGTAATCTTACCAATCTATGTCTTTTATTTTCACAAATTCCTTTACTGTAGGTCATCCACTGGCGGAACAGAACATCTGTAAAATATCAGTAATCAGATGTTAGAAGTGTATGTACTTACTGCTCAACAAGGATACTTTAATAGAGATAATTCATATACGTGTACTTACTGCTCAATAAGGATACTTTAATAGAGATAATTCATATACGTGTACTTACTGCTCAACAAGGATACTTTAATAGAGATAATTCATATACGTGTACTTACTGCTCAACAAGGATACTTTAATAGAGATAATTCATATACGTGTATTTACTGCTCAACAAGGATACTTTAATAGAGATAATTCATATACGTGTAATTACAGCTCAATAAGGATACTTTAATAGAGATAATTCATATACGTGTAATTACAGCTCAACAAGGATACTTTAATAGAGATAATTCATATACGTGTAATTACAGCTCAGTAAGGATACTTTAATAGAGATAATTCATATACGTGTACTTACTGCTCAACAAGGTATACTTTAATAGAGATAATTCATATACGTGTACTTACTGCTCAACAAGGATACTTTAATAGAGATAATTCATATACGTGTACTTACTGCTCAACAAGGATACTTTAATAGAGATAATTCCTATACGTGTACTTACTGCTCAA